TGATCGGCGGTAGCTCGTTAACGGAGATTTGCCGTGTTGTGGCGTTAAGGTAATTTCAACGAGATTAACCTGAAAGCACTAGTGGGAACACAACGAATATGACTGCACATTTACACCGACATCATCGTAGTGCAAAGACAAGTGGAAGCAGACAAAAAAAAGCAAGCATGCTACTAACTTTAGCCGAGTCATTTAGACAGCTGTTAGCACATGATTCTCCTTATGCTGCTGAGAATATAGCCCAGAAGAAGCGGATAGTATAGCTTTTATTTTGGAAAGAGACATTCTCTGTAATAAACTCTCTTTTCCAAAGATGAGTGATTCCTCAATCAGATACAGGGCTTGCAATATCGCTAGCCCGACGTCCCGGAGCTAGCGATTTTTTCAGTCGGGCTACCAAAATCTATCTCTTCCCTGCCCGTCGGGCTATTGTAGGAAAAATATATGTCAATGCTTTTGCATTCTTTCAGAAATGTAGCTGGGTAATTATGTCATTGGCATCGGTGAGCCACTGTCAATATGTGACATATTGAAGTCACGTTTGAATTTGCGCTTGTTTTTTTGCTTTCACTTTGCAATCGTGCGAACTGTGTATAGAGAGCGACAGCACTGATCTGTGAGTGATGATAATTTGTGCACCAATTCCTCTGACATCGTCTTATTAATCGTTAGCTTACTATGCAAACATGACAAGTGAAATCTCCCGCAGCAAGCTTAAACATGTGAGAGGTTGATCGCGCAGAGAATCGCTGAGCTTATGTGAGTGAGTGTGTAAAAGCATTTCAGTTCTGCTGAGCCAAATAAGACAGGTCAGGGTGAAGAAGTGACAGCCAAAGAAAAGCTTACCACAAAACGGAGAAGTTATGACAAATCAGACTATGAGGCAAAAAGAAAGTGCAGCTTTATGGTTTCATGGACAAAAGAATTTCTGTGGCTGCAATATGATGAGCTAAATAACCAGGGCTGCACATAAGTGGTCCGCAGGTGCGCATTCGCTGTCAAAATAAAAAACACGGACAAGGGTTAGGGTTAAATTCAAAAACTGTTCTTTTGAGTTAAAATATATATTTATAATTTTAATAAATGACAAATTAAAAATGCATGAACATTTTTTTGTATCGAAAAAATATCGAACCGTGACACCAAAGTATCGAACCGAACCGAACCGTGAATTTTCTGTATCGTTGCACCCCTAATATATATATATATATATATATATATATATATATGTATGTATATGTATGTATGTATGTATGTATGTGTATATATATATATATGTATATATGTGTATATATATATATATATATATATATAGTGTGTGTGTTGCATTGCACAGATAGTGTTTCCTACCCGACCGCGACCTTTGGGATAACAGCATCAGTAGCGCAGTAGCGCCTGTCAGCCAACGCAGGCACCAGTGAAACTGATTGATGATGGGGACAACTGGCCCCCTGGAGAAGATCAGATACTGGCAGGAGTAGCGGACTCCTGGGGAAGACTCTCCACTCACAGCATAGTAACTTTCTGTCTTCCTTCACAGAATAGAAATTTATTACATTTTCACAAATGAATTATTTCAAAATCCCCGTACTTCCACTCTCAACCTTTAACCTCTGCAGTGGTTGTTACTTGCAGGGACAGAAATGACTTGGTCAGAAATATATACGAGTGCACTTTGTGAATTTCTTTTTAAGATTTATTTTTCATTTAATCATTGGGTGATGTTAAATGAGGGATTATGTGGTCCATTCTGAGAAATAGTTTCATTTTCATTTTTACAAAAAATGGTAGTATCTCCTGGCAGTCATGCTATCAAACTGGGCTAAATAGAATTACTGCAAAACAACTGATGATTAATTGTTAGATTGATTATTTGGCATTTTTAAACACGAAGATGAAAATAGCAACCGATCAAGGATCTTAGCAGTTATTTAACATGGATGGAGCAGACCACTCTTTATTTATTTTTGTCAGCTAACTGCATCAAATATAAACAGTAAATTGCTCAATCCCTGCACAGACAGAATATTGAACCCTTATCACATACCGCTACAAATGTCTTCTGACAGCCTGAATGCCTGGTTCAACTTGCCAGATTTTACAACTGGTAAAAATGATCAGCTCCTGTCTCTTCCTCACCCCTGCCTTCCTCTTCTGTTTGCTATTTGAATAGGAAGTAGTGACACTGGACACTGGATCCCTCCCAACAGGTGCAAGGGTTCAGCAGCACATGCCAGGTCAGATCAGAAGGCAGAACCCCTCCAGGCTTCCCTGTTATGGCAAATCCCTATTGCCCTCCCTCCTCCCGACACTTTCTCACTTTTGGGCTGTTGTCTTTTCCAGATGGTTCCAATTAGCATGGTCCTGGACCTTTTTATGTATTTTTTCAAACAAAGACTCAAGAGTTTCCCCTCCTAAATTCTTGTCTTTATTGGTTGCCATGCCCATATATGCTCTGCATGGTAGCTTCAATAAAGTCCCACTTCCTGCACATGACAACATTTTAAAAATCTCTAGTATTCCCATTATTCATTTTGGGTGTCAGCACATTTTCAAGTTAGCGATCCAGTTAAAGAATGTCCTTTCTTTAAACTAAGAAGAAATGGTTAGTGTCTAGGATGTCCTATTGCTCACATTTAGCACTACTGTAAGTCCACACACACACTGCTATAGATGATATCTGGCCATTAATTGGTTGTTAAAAGTGATAATCATCCCTATAGTAATGGCGCTTGGGTACACTTCTGTACCAACTAATGCTGCAGAAGGTGTGCTTGACCTAAACCAAAGGGCTTTTGAAGCCAAAGGTTGTATTTTAATCCTAATAAACCAATGATCTTTTCTTAATTCTAGCCAAGTAGTTTTCGATCCCCACTCAACTTAGATGAAAGTTGCTTGATTTGTTTCTTGATGTCTCAGTAAGATTTAAGAGATTTTATATTTTAATGTCTGTGACTTTTACTGAACAATGCCTAACTCTAGCTTGCAGTCTGCTAATTTGTTAGCAGTACTTGACAGATGTACAAATGTGTTCATAAAGATTTAGTCATATAGACAAGCTTCTTATCACATAAATGGTTGTCTTTTATAAGACAGTGCCATACTTACTTTGTGTGTTTGATACGAGCCTCATATTTATCAGCAAGCAGATTAATCTTCTCATGTCATTCTCAAAGTTAATTATTTAGAGTTTTTTATTAGATCAATAAAGAATGACAGAAAATGAATTATTTGGATTCGACTGAAAAGTTTTCTTTTGACTTTCTATGGAAATGTTTTTTTCTGGCTTCATTTTACTAGATTACACAGTTAAGTTGAACTAAAAAGCACTGTAGCATTAATACAACATTATCCCAATAGAACAACTAATTAACATCCAATGAAGTGAGTAAAGTGGGATGAACGATAATGTTTACCAGCAACAAGTTCTTGGTTAGCTCCCAAAAAGTAGCTCTGCGTGGCTCACTGTTATTATCCGTGAGCTTTCTTCTGTTTCTCTTTCTCTGAATCAATTCATTTGATGAACTCCCCTTTCGGAGCCCAATTATTGGTAACCATGGAGGCCTGATGAAACCGGTCTGACGACACAAATGTTTCCTGAGAACACAAAGGGCCTTTTGTTTAGCTGATCTCCCAGTCAGTACTGAAAGGCAGATCAGCATGCGAGCCTGTTCTGCTAGGCTTACGATGAAAGGGCAAAGGGGTGAGGTGTATTGATAGAACTGTTGGGATGGACATGTCAGGGTCTTACAATGTGTGTGTGTCTGTGTTTTGGTTTTTGTTACTGTGGCTGGTTTGATGTTTTTCTTTGCTGGTGTCAAATCTCTTGATTCACTCCCTCCTTCCTGTGTGGAACAAACAAAGAGAAGAAAGAAGTTGTAAAGTCCATTTACTATAGGGTTTATTTAGACTTTCTATGATTTCTACTGTGTGCCTGTTAGCAAAACATGCCATGAAGGAATATTTGTCCCATCCGACATACTAATAGTAGTTTTTCAGGCCTGATTACTGGCAGATCTATTAGATCAAGTTGAAGTAGGCTAAAAGTAGGCTAAAAGTAGGCTAAAAGCAACACATCATGACATAGTCTAAAGAAACTGCTGAGAAACAGAGTTATTGATATTAGTCTGGAACGGGTTACAAAGCCACTTCTAAGGTTTTGGAGCTATTATCCTCAAGTTGAGGAAACTTGGAACAACCTGTGGTCAGTTGTGAACCTTCCCGAGAGTGGTTGGCCTGCCATTATTATGTTGCATTGGCAACCCATTGACAAGGTCACAAAAGAACCCAAAACATCTAAAGAACTGCAGTCTTCACTTGCCTCATTTGGTGTCAGTGTTCATGATTCAGCAACAACAAAGAGACCAAGCAAAAATTGCATTTATGGAAGCATTCCAAGGTTAAAACCACTGCTGACCAATAAGATCACAAAATGACTTTTTCAGATAGGGCCAGGTAGGTTTGGATTTTATTCCCCCTTAATACATGAAGTCCCTGTTAGTATTGACTCAGGTTGTAGTACTCTAATATGATTTGTTTGATGATTTGAAACACTGAATTGTATGCCCTCATATTGCTCAAGATAGCAAATGGCTCAATAGAGAGTAGAGTAAGAAGACAATCCTACCTGCCAGGAAATTATGAATTTAAAACCTGTTTCAGCGTTGAGACTCAGAACAAAGAAAAACAAATGAGAATGTTATATTTATATCTTTGTGTCACAGTCAGAGTGTTGAGTTGGATATTTTTGGATCAAAGCACTGTTTTCTATTTTAGCAATGAAATCTGACATTGCACATAAGATTTTTAGGTGTTTATTAGTCATGAGATACAAGTATAAGATATGAATAAAGGGCTCATAGAAATTAAACAAATCACTTTGGATTTTATCAACCTTATAAGCAGTTTTCTACCATATATTAGGAGTATTACTCCAAACACATATCTTCTACAGTATAATCTAATATCGTTTTCTGTGTCCCTGTGTGTGCCCCCTCCAGTGTTTCAGCAGCAGGCTGTCCACAGCCCTCTGGAGCAACAGAAGCAGAAACAGAAGCAGGGTAGCAGTGGAGGACCTGTCGCCTGCCAGAACTGTGGAAAGCCCTGCAAAGGGGAGGCACTCCGAGTTCAGAATAAACACTTTCACATTAAGTGTTTCATCTGCAAAGGTATGTAACACCAAATCAGAGCCACAGCCAAGACATAATGCAGATGCATGAACTGCACAATGAGATGGGATGTTACAAAAATGTTTTTGCAATATTGTGTGTGTTAATGTGCATATTGCAGCACATATCCTGGTCAATAGTCACTCCAAGAATCCTCACAGCATTACTGGAGGCCAGGGTAATGCCAGCAATAGTATCTAGTTAGACACCGTGTGGCTGAGATTTAGAGGACTGAATAAAAAAGCATTGGTTTATCGTTTTTCTATGTACTGTGATAGCACATCTACAGTTGAGCAATACAGTCATTATTAATGGATTGGTCAAAGCTAACCAGCTGTGGGTGTGAGTGTGTGTGTGTGTGTGTGTGTGTGTGTGTGTGTGTGTGTGTGTGATTGAGGGGTAGGGTGGGAGTGAGGGGATTTTTTCTTTGTACATATAATCTGGGAGGGTAGCTGCAAGTGTCAGAAACTTGAAATGTGAGCATGTTCCATTTGTGTGTATGTGTGTGCTTGTGGGTGGGTGGTGGATGTTTTTGTTTTTTCTTTTCACATGTGACTTTGAGTGTGTATTTTCACCACTCCCAGGCCAGACTCCCAGCTCGATTCTTGTGTCAGACTGCTGTTGTTGTCAACACACGCTCCGGTTGCTAGGCAATGGTTGGGGTCGCTAAAGTGTCGGCAGCTTCCTGGAGTTTAATCTTACACTGACCAGCAGACTCCCTGTCTGTACATTTACGCCCCGCCATTACCACTACCTCCATCTTTAACTCTGTTATCAGGTGATAAAGTGGCAGTGTTTGCATTGCCATCACAAGATTATAAGTGTACTGCACTCAGTGGTCAGCTTGTTTTTGTTTAACTTAACAGATGATTCCTTTTTATTGCAAGTTGTAGCTTAGATTTAGCATTTAGTTGTAGCATAGTTTTGGCCATTATTGTTGTGTAGACCAACACTGCATATTATGGTGCATGCTACAGACTACTGTATTTATAGCCTGTATGGCACAAAATAGTTAATAAAAATGTCATCTTTGTGGCTATTAATTTAAAAAGTCTGATTTGTCAATAATGACAGCATCTATTAAGCTGTCACGCTTTACTGATTGAGCTGTTCCTTCATGAAGAGCTTTTATGATTGGTTTGAAAAAAATGAGCAAATTGAGGTGATTCATGCCAAGTATTCAGTGAGTATGCTAATACCAACACACAACAGTCAGAGGAGCTATGTAAGGGTTCTCTTTACCCCACCCAAAAGTGCTTGGCGGTTCCTCCCATCTATAAATCTAAAGCATGACCACAGTAATTCGATTTCCAACGAATCTGGCCTGTTAAATGTGCTGATTATCCCAGCATTGTGAGCCCTAGGTGGGGAGTCAGGTTCGGTTAGTTATTAAAACTTCCAGATGTGGAATGATAGGAGTTTGAAACGTTTGAGTATGCCAATAAAATAAACCATAGCAGGCTTAGTGGCAATGGCGCTTGTCAATCCGCAGTTGGAAATTTAACATCAAAGAAAAGAGGAGACACCCAAAGGAGTGGTAGCAGCTTAATTCAACAAAGTGTAATGCTCATTAAGATTTTAGGTTTTTCTCTCAGTGCATGCTTCATGGAAGAGAATCATGGCCCCTGATTTTATTACAGTATTATCATCAGTTGCCTTTAGCCTGGGTGTTAGCCAAGAGGTTAACAGTGGCCAGATCTGAAGCAAGGAAACCTCAAAGCTCAGCTAGCTCTATTTAATATATCAAGATTTCTGCATGTTTATCATAATATACATAGTAGTAACATATATTCAACATATACAACTGACAGTGTGCTTTCAAGTGACAGCAGTTACTTACTAAAGTGATTAAGACAGTACAAGTACCTTCTAATGAATGTATTTCACTATATTTAGACGGGTTTCAAAGATAAGACATCATCAGTGTAATTTGAAACAAAGAGGAGTGACAATATATAGAAACCAGGTGAGGCCCAAATGCCAATCACAAACAAGAGCTTTCATTACATAAAAGGAAACATCTGCAAAAGCCTCAAAGGGTAATGAATGAGAAGATAACCAGAACCATGTGGCATCACTCACTGATAGAAACCAACTGACAGCATATAAAAAATATACTTTTTGAGATATCAACATCAAAATATTATTAACAACTGACATAGAAAAAATATAACAACTTCTGGGGACTGCATTAGACTAAAAACAGAAAAATATTAGAAACAAAATAAGAACTGAATTGAAATCTGTGTCTCATATTGGATCTGTCTCTCTCCCCTCAACCCAAGCTGGTGATAGATGCCCCTCCCAATGCCTAAATCTGCTGGAGGTTTCTTCTTGTTAAAATTTGTAAGAATTAAACTAAAGTTTTTCCTTCCCATTATCGTCAAGTGCTGGCTGATTGGGGTAGTCTTTTTTCTGTATTATTATGGAGTCTTTACCGCATTGAGGAAACTGTAATTTGTTGCTATATAAATAAATTGAATGCGGTTGGACCAGATAAGCTAATTTTCTGAAACACTTCACTGGATTCACGTAACCCTCCAAGTTGAAGATGAATCATTGAAAATCATATGTGGCATATGTGGGATAAAGTCCCACATAGAACTTTAATCGTCTTAAATATATTTTTAAAGAAAGAAAAGGACTTTGTCTTTCTTATTTTATTATAAACATTTGACAAACATCCCAACCACCCACCCCCTTCATTAGTGATGAGCACTAATTGGTGTTTTTATTGTAGCTTCCAGCAACACCTAAGTGTGTGCTTGAGGAAGTGTGAAGACTGTGGCCTTCTGTATATCCTGTTTTGTCTGTGTCTCATATATCTTTAATCTAGCAGTGAGACCCCATCAACAGCAGACAGCTGCAGACAATACGACCTGGCCGAACAGCTCAGACAGACATTTATCCCCTTTCTGTTTTTACTCGCTTGAATGGCCATCACATCATCCAAACAGCATTTGAATACAGCGGGGAATACTCAAATGTGAAAATATGTGGACACACCCTAAAACAGATAAATGAGAAGTGTTAGGAAGTCCGCAGCTAAGAAACAGAGGGAAACTGAACATGTGCTTTACAGGAAAAATTTTTTTGCTTTAAATTATGCCATTCAGTAGCTTCAGAACATTTTTTTCAAACTTTTTCATAGTTCTAGTAAATGTTAAATATATTTCTCCCTTTTTTCTGTATCAAATCTGCAAGAGCTAAGGCCCATTGCAGTTCTTCCTTTTAGGGTCTATTTTACCTCCTGTGTAGTATATAGTTTCCCAGCATATACTGCGAATTGTCCCAATGTGTGCCAACATGTTCTCATCCCAAAACGTAACATACCGACACTATGTGACAAATCGTTGGTATGTTACGCTTTCGGCGGACAAAATGTCTGCACGTTATTTATTCAGAGACATGAGAACCGTTTGGAATGAACCTAGAGATCTACATTTATTTTACATTCTGATCATCAATCGCTTTGGAAAACACTATGAGATACGGTTACGGTTATGGTTAAGGTTAGGGTTAGGGCTGAAATACACGGCTGGAGCGTGTGTTACCACCACAAGTGTCATTCTGTTGGATTCCATCCACAATCTGGAGCGTGTCATAGGAACTATAAGACACCTCGGGATGTGACAAATTGTTGGTATGTTATGCACTGGGAATGAGAATGCCCTCAAGTGTGCATTGTGTTGTCTAACACACACAATTTAAATAGTATTAGTCGTATACAACATAGAACTTAGTGAAAGATTAGATTTACAGAATAAACCAACAGCAGGGATCGCAAAATCGCTACCCCGACGTCCCGGAGCTAGCGATATCTCCGGTCGGGCGACGAAAATCTATCTCAGCAGCGCCCGTCGGGTTATCATATAGCTAGCTCCGGCTATTACTACAAAAATAAACTACTTGCTTACCAATATCATTATTTGAATAAATAAACCGAGTCCAAAGTCATTAAGAAGCAGGTTACAATGGGGTTTCCACTCTGTGTTGTATGCAATTACAGCCTTTACGCAGAGTGTTTTGACATATTTATGGACTGCATTGTTTTTTTTGTACAATTACCCAACCAGTCTGTGCTTCTTCCTGGAAGTAAATAGACGGTGCTGGCCACATGTTAAGGTCCTCGCAGTCCAGTCATTGATGTTATAATAGCAGATGGTTGTGATGTTCTCAGTTGGGTGTTGGCTATTGAATTGTTCAATGACCGGCCCAATGGCTGGGGGAGCTGACCTCAAGCACATGTGTATTAGGGGTGCTATTGGGAGGGTGGACGGACGGTGTGGAAGTGTTCACCTTCAAGTAGAAAATAGACCTCCCTCGTCTGTACAGCAAGCATTTAACGTATTAGAATAATCAACCTTGGATTTTCTTTCCCAAGTACAATTCAATTAGCCTGCAAAAAAATCAGTGTAAGCAGACTGAAGATGCTATAGTTAAGGTTGTGAAATGGATTGGTATTGACAATGTCCTACCCACACCCCAACGATCCCACCCCACACGTGTGCATGAAGCGCCTTGAGGCAACAGTTGTTGTGATTTGGCGCTATATATAAATAAAGTTGAATTGAGTGGTGATTCATTGTAAAACACAAGCTGCAGTCAGGGTCTTACATTTATAGCAGCGAGCACATGCCACATGTATATTTAACCCTGATCACACACAAAGAGTCAAGGTCACCTTCTTGTAACGACACAGCATGTCAGTATATAGGGCCTCTGAGGATGAAGGATGTATAAAGATAGAACATCTTAATTTTTTTTGGAAAAACACACACACAAAATCCCAAAACAGTACTTGGGTACATTACTTGTGAACATTTGAAAACGGATTTTCTTGAAACTGGTCTTAATTCAAACTGTAAAAAATATTGTGGGTGAATGCAACAAGTGGATGCAATCTTGACTGAAAGCTATCTTTTCTGATACTATTTCGAGCTTCATTGAAATAACACAAACCACAAATTATCAAAAGATTACAGGTCTTGTAAGCTTAG